CGGCCCACGGAGGAAGCTGCGTCCAGACAAAAGCGCTGCATCTCTGCCGCTCAGCCCCTGCGGGGAGCCGCGTTCGGTGCCTGTCCCCGTCTGAGTCTCAGCTCCAAACTGTTGGCCAGTGCACAGAGGTTTCCAGCGTCTCATGAGCTGCTCGGAGAGGAGACCCCCCGTCTGTGGCTGAGGAGGGCTAAGCACCGCGCTCAGGAAACGGGGGAGAAAAGGCAGAAAAGAAAATGATTTCCCGGGACACGGTCCTCGCAGGATTCCTGTTTGCTCTGCTTTATTCCTCCCTCGCTCAAGACGCGAGCCCCCCGTCGGAGGCCAGCGCAGAGGACATTCCCGAGGGGGCCTCCACCTTGGCTTTTGTGTTCGATGTGACCGGCTCCATGTATGATGATTTAGTTCAGGTTATCGAAGGGGCTTCCAAAATTTTGGAGACGTCTTTGAAAAGACCTAAAAGACCTCTTTACAACTTTGCTTTGGTGCCTTTCCATGATCCAGGTAAGGGGAATGTTCATTCTTTGTTATTATTTTTTTAAAAATATCTTTTTATTGATTCCAGAGAGGAAGGGGGAGGGAGAGAGAGAGAGAAACATCAATGATCAGAGAGAAGCATTGATCGGCTGCTTCCTCCACGCCCCACGCTGGGGATGGAGCCCGCAACCCTGCACGTGCCCACACCACCGGGAATCAAGCGGGGACCTCCTGGTTCATAGGTCGAGGCTCAACCACTGGGCCACAGGGCTGGGCGCATGTCTTTGTTATTTCTTATGATCACATCGTGCTTTATGCTATGAAACGGTCTCAGTGTTGGGTAGTTTGAAATCTTTTTGATAGATGTGTAGCCCGAAGATAGTTGTCACAAAGAATTGCTGCTTGGCTTCTGGGGTGGCTCTGCTACCTGCTCACGTCTCAGCCATGGGGTAGACAGATGGCTTGTTTAGGGAGCTGGTCCGGTGGTCCCCAAACCTGGATATGTGGAGTTAGGAAACCCACAATCCGGTCTTGAGCAACAGCGTCTACTGACTTTTTAGTTTTAGAGCTAAAGGATGTTTAATGATAAAGGCAGATTTGAACAGGGGTGTTCAGCCGCGATCCTTCCAAAGCTAACAACATCCAGGTGGAGAGCACGCGCAGGATAACGCTCCGCTAAGATGGGAAAAACCTGTGTGAGTCAAGGAAGCTTGGCGTAGTTACTACTAGTGGAACGGAAGAGATGAGAATGAGAGAAACCATTCATTGCTTTACTGAATCTACTCATCTTTGCACCAGGTCATCATTAGCTAGGTTCACAGATGGTATAAACCTTATGGCTAAGGCTCATGCAGTAGAAATGCACGTGATTTGGTATGTCAGTGCTCTGTAAAGGTAGCTGAAGCCAAAGGACTTTACTTATTTTTTATTTTTTGCCCTAAAGCTGTGGGTCTCAGCGGCTCCACTGTAACAGGACCCGATTTACTTTTTTTTCAGTTTCCCTTTAAAGTGGCACCTTTCTGTGAGGCGCATAGGAGCCCTCATTGTCATTGTGGAGGGCAGCATCGCCAGGGGAGCCCTGCGGCTTGCTGTGTAGCGTCCACCTGAGTTTCATTAACACAAGTTGCTGCCCAGTTGAAGAAATAAAGCAGTGGCTTCTTAACAGTCCTCCCCCACTGTTCTCCCATACGTTTCCTGCTTTGAAATTCTCTTTTCCGTAGAAGACCTTGACACAGCCTCTTTACAATGAGAGCTTGACATTGAGAATTTCAGATTTGTTCCTTGTGCATTTGACAGACATAAGTTCAAATTATTGCTAGGTATCAAATGTGTCAGTTGTCAACTATTTAAAAAAAGTTGGCTGTGGGGAAATTTGGAGGGGAAATAGAATTTTCTGGGTTTCCCCCCCCCCCTTTCAGATGATGAAAACAATAACCTATCCTATTCTTCTGGGGTGATATCTATCTATCTATCTCAGTGGTTCTCAACCTGTGGGTCGCGACCCTTTTGGGGGTCGAACGACCCTTTCACAGGGGTCGCCTAAGACCATCGGAAAACACATATATAATTACATACTGTTTTTGTGATTAATCACTATGCTTTAATTATGTTCAATTTGTAACAATGAAAATACATCCTGCATATCAGATATTTACATTACAATTCATAACAGTAGCAAAATTACAGTTATGAAGTAGCAACGAAAATAATTTTATGGTTGGGGGTCACCACAACATGAGGAACTATATTAAAGGGTTGCGGCATTAGGAAGGTTGAGAACCACTGATATATGTGAATCACGCATATATGTATATATATGTATATATATAACATTTCTACATTGATGAAATATTCTTTATATTTGAGTGAAGAATTGAATGGTTACTTACTGTGTTTTCTCTCTTAGTAAGACACCTCATGTCTTACAATGTTTCACTTTATTAAATGTCAAGATGTCAATGTTGATGCAGTTCAAAACTTGTTATTTTGGAATAGCCTAAATACGTTTCTTCTGTAGGGATAAATCTGAAGTTGGCTAAAAAAACAAAGTAAAAATTGTTTTCTCTAATTAACACCACAATTTGCTCTTCTCCAAAAGACTCTTATGAAATGATGTTGCTGCAGACAGAACACAGAAATTGCCTCAAGTCATAAATGGAAACTGGATCATCATGATATTTCAATGTGATATGAAAATTATTGGAATAAATTGCATTGTGGTATGCTGCATTCCAATTGTTACCAAATGGGAAAGTTTGCTGTAGTTGACTTTCCTATAGTTTAGCAATCATGTTTCAAAGTGGGGGAAACTTGGCATGCTAATAAGAGATGACTAATAAATTAGATCTTTCTAGAATTAATACACGAAAATGATTAAATTGGTTCCATAAAATTAATTGTAAGTATAATTCAGCAAAACTATTAATTCTGTTTCCATTGTGATTAGAGAGAAGTGGCCAAGTGTTTCTGTTATCTAAGAGTATTTAAAGTGTTTTTGAAGATAAAGAGGGAAGTAGAAGTTAAAACATATTAATAACTTTTAGTTTATTAATTCATTTTAATGGATTGTAATAATATCTTGGTGTGACATTTTCTCTCACACTGTGTGTGTGTGTGTGTGTGTGTAAAATCATTAAGCATTTTTTTTTTCCTTTTACTTGTGATTAGTGATCAGCTTAGAATGACAAAAAGGGCCTTGAATGGGGATTGGCTGTTTTACAGAGTGACATTGGAAAAGTCAGGTTATCTTTCTGAACTGTAAAATGAGGGACTTGGATTTGAACATCTCTAAGGTCACTTCTAACTGCGACATTTTATGACTGATTGTTTTATATGTGGTTGCTTTTCATAGTTTCTAACACAAATTCCTACGGTTGGGTGATACAACTGACGTGAAAAGAAATGTGTGTTATTGGGTATAATAATTGCATTAATTATAATCATAATTACTAATTATATTAATGACCTTGACTACAACTTTTCAAAGCCCTTTGATACCTGCTACTGCATTTAGCTAGATGAAATAATGGAGGAGACCTGGGATATAGTCCCCGGCATTTGACAGAGACCTGTCGGCCTTTCAGGTGACGCTTTGGACCCCTGCATTACAGGTTGGGGCACGGTGTGTGTTTGCAGGTGGGGGTAAAAATTAAAATACAGGGAAAACATAACCATAGAGGACAAAGTCTAACAACTTGACAAGGAAGTGATAAAATCACTCAGAAAATGTGCACCTCAGAAGCCAGTCTTGGAGGACCAACAACACACCCATGGAAGGGGAAGCATCAGAGAGGACCAGGGACATGGACTATCAGGCCAGCTTTTTGATGCTAACTAAGTTAAAATGTTCTTTTTAAACTTCTCTAATCACTTATAATGCCTTAATTTTTAGCAGCTTTATTTAGATATAATTCCCATATCATACAAACATTCATATTCACAGATGCATACAACCATCACCACAATTTTGGAACATTTTTATTACCTCAAAGAGAAACCTCATGCCTTTTATTTATCTATCAGTTCTCTATCCCCTTATCCTTCTCCCAGCCCTAAGCAACCACTAATTTACTTTCTGTCTCTCTAGGTTTTCCCGTTCTGGACTTTTATATGACTGGAATTGTATAATAGGTGTTATTTTATGATTGGCTTCTTTCACTTTAGCATAATGTTTTCAAGGTTCCTTCATGTTGTTGCATGAGGATGTTGCATGAGACCCAACTTTGAGATGAGAGGGTTGAAATTTTCTCTCCCGCTCCTGACCTCTGGGGAAGGGAGAGGGGCTGGAGGATGAAAGCAAACTGGGGAAATCTCTGGGATTGGATAAAAAGTAAAATAGAAACACTTATTTCTTTCACATTGGTGGGTGCAGGGTAGTCAGTAGTTGACATTTACAGCATGAGATGGTTTGCAGGGAATAAGATAACAAGGAGGGGTTCTGCTATAGGTTGTGCCCTGAGGGGTCTAGAAAAAGATCATTACTCTGACTTTCAAAGGAGTATTATCTCAGATACAAAACGATAGTAGACAGGCTCACTTAAGTTAAAGATTGACCTTTGTCAAGGAAGCCACAGGCCTAGGACAGGACTACCCACCATGGCTCACTTCTAGTTAGGAATTTTTATGTCCAGACCATCCTAATGTGATTACTTTGGGCCTCTGTTTGTAGGGCCCACCATGCAGGCCTCCCCTGAGCTTGTCAAGTTTAGTGTGTGGCCCCTTTTTTCATTCACACTGAGTTATATTCTTTTATAATAAAACAGGTAATCTAATGAGTAAGTGCGTTTTCTGAGGTTTTTGAGCTGCTCTAGCAAATTAGTTGAACCCAAGGGAGGGGGTTGTTGGCACCTGTGATGTATAGCTGGTGGTCAGGCGCACATGAAACAACTGGGGCTTGTGATTGAAGTCTCAAGTTGGGGGGAGGGTGCAGTCTTGTAGAATCAAACCCTTTAACTGGTGGAATTGGATGCTCTCTCCAGGTAAACAGGTATCAGAGTAGAGTTGAATTCTCAGACCTTGAAAATCTATCGACGTTTTATAGGAGCTAAACTTCAAATTGAAATGTCAGTTTCAATATGTGTAGGAAAAAGATCCAAGAAGATATTAGTCTCCCTTTGCCTGTAGCTCCTCCTGTGTGAAGAAGGGTTTTCATGAGGAAAAGGGTTGGTCTTTTAAATCCAAGAGAAACCAAACTTAAAGTAGAATTTAAGAGTGAGAGATTTTGGTTGCAATGATTACTTCGTTTCTAGCATGATAGTATATTTAATTTTAATTTTTTTTAAAAAGTAAAGTGGGATTTATTGAAGATGCACTCCAAGCAAGGTGTGAGCCAGTCGAGAGAGACAATGGCCCTAAACTCCTGACTTACACGGTTTAAATGAGGGATTTTCTAGGTGGAGACCTTAATTTGCATTCAGGGATGATTAATAGAACAGGGTTATATAATTATATTTCTTCTCTGCATGCCTTTACCCATAATGCATACAGAAAAATCCAAGGGGGATGGTTCTACACCACAATGCAAATTT